CGATCCTCGTGTTCGCCATCGATCGGTGCGGGGATGTCACGACTTCCCCCTTCGGCTTTGCCGGAAGGAAAAAGCGCCACATCTGCTTGAGCAATTTTCTTATTCTTTATATACTTTGATTTTCCCATATAGCTTGGGAATACTGTGATTGGAATCTTACTTTAGAAATAAAGCAAAGCTCCGTGGAAAATAAGCGACACATGAGGCTTGCCTCTATTAGCTTTATTTTCCTAGGAGAGTTTTGAAAATTACTGCGAAGTTTTCAAAACGCCTTTGCTTTATTTTGAACCACATTTCATGGCATGAATTCATGCTTTGAATCGTCTGAGTTCATCTCTTTTATTTCCCGCGCCGCCTCGAGACAGGGGTGGGATGGGTGGGTAGCTACTCCCTGGCCAAAGGGCCGGAAAATTTTGTCCCTCCCTCCACTCCCGGGGTGTTCGTTGGCGATCCTCGTGTTCGCCATCGATCGGTGCGGGGATGTCACGACTTCCCCCTTCGGCTTTGCCGGAAGGAAAAAGCGCCACATCTGCTTGAGCAATTTTCTTATTCTTTATATACTTTGATTTTCCCATATAGCTTGGGAATACTGTGATTGGAATCTTACTTTAGAAATAAAGCAAAGCTCCGTGGAAAATAAAAAAGTAATCATGCATCACAAAACCAGACACACCCATCTACGATGACAAGCAGCTGGGACTCGGTGGTCGCCGCCTGGCTCTCCGACCTGGGCCCCCCAGGACTCAGAGACGGGATGTCACGAGAAAAAGTAAGCAAGCCAAAGACATCTTAAAAGACACCGCCATCGCAAAGCTTTCGCAGAAAAGTAATCATGCAACACAGGTCCGGCAACACTTTTATAAAAGGACAAGCAGCTTCGAGTGGCTGGTTGTCGAAGTCTCCGGCCGCGAACGTCTCCTGGGTTGCCGGCAAAAAAAATAACCATGTCGCATATGCTTGGGAACCTGCTTAAAACAGAAAAACCAGCTTGCAGGCAGGACACTGGCACGCCGGGCAGGAACCTGAGCAGCAAGGGCACGACGGCCGGACGATGATGCCTCGATCGTCCACGTAGAGCTTGTGCCACATTGCCCGGTTCTGGCACGAGCCAGTGTGCTCGTCCATGGTTGTTCAGCTAGCTGTCTGTGCTGTGACAACTGTGTGTGTGTCTCTGTGTGCTGTGTGTGCTGTGAGTGCTCTCTGCTGTGGTCCTTGCTGTTTGCAGTGCTCTCTGCTGCGGAGTGCTGTGTGTGTGTGTGAAGTGCTCTCTGCAGTTGTCTTTTTAGAGGCTGTGCTGAGTGCTCCCCCTGGTGCTCTGCTTTGCACGGGCCTCTCAGAAGGCCCCCCTCTTTGAGCTGCGAAAAACGGTTGCCGGGTTCAACATGTCTTTCCACAAGCTCCAAGAAGTGGACAGTAAGCATGCGGGCACAGGAACTGCTTCGGAAAAGTTTCAAAAGCAACCATGCCCAGACTGCTTCTGCAAAGTGCACTCACAGTAACCATGCCGCAATCAATCAACAGTAACCATGCACACCACGAGAACTGCAGAGTAAGCATGCTTCAAAAACACTGTTTTCATGCTAAGTACAAAGAGTAACCATGCCAGAAAATTTCAGCTGGCAAAGTGCAAAAAATAAGCATGCCGAGCTGCACTTGCTTCCCCGGGTTTCTTCTCTTAGCTTCTCTGGCTTGTTTGGATCTTCGGGCTTCGGGTCTCCTGAAACAGATACAGTAAGCATGACACAAGCTGACCGAAAAGGTGGACAGTAAGCATGCCGAGCTTCGCTTGCTTCTCCGGGTTCCTTCCTAGCTTCTGTGGCTTGTTTGGATCTTCGAGCTTCGGGTCTCGTTACAAAAGCCCAGAGAGTTTTTCACCGGAGGCGGGCAGCTCACTCATCCGGCTCGCCCTGACCCCCGCTCAGGTAGAGCCGGATGGCATCATCATCCGGCTCCGTGGAGGTCTCCTCCGTGTCCGCCTCCTCTGCCCTGGGCAGCACGAAAAAGCAGAAAGTAAGCATGCTCACAGGGTACATTTTTATAGGGACACTTTAGCTTCCTTTTACTTTAGGTCCTAAAGAGCTTCTGCCTGGAAAAATAAAATAATCATGCCTGGAGAAAAAGTAATCATGCCAAGACCTCAAAAAAAACTGAGCCAAGTTTCGGGGAGGTTGCCTCCAGGTCCATGTCTTCGACAGGCTGCGACCTGAAGCTTGGCAAGGAAGAAGTAAGCAGCTATTCTTGTTTCTCCGTGGGTTAGAAGACTTTGACAAAGAACTGAACACCCAAAGCAACGACACCGTACTATGCTAATTGCTTCCAGTGTCGGCGAAAGAGCAAAAGTGGCAGCACTTGGACCAGAAGGCAGACTTGGCGCTTGCGGCCTTTGCTGCCAGCATCTGAAGACAGAGGGTTCAACTCTGTGTTTATAGAACAGTAATCATGCCACAAGCAGAGTAATCATGCCAGAAGCACAAACCCGGTACTGCTGAATTGCATCGAGTTTCGGAGCGACCTCCTCAGCAACGACACCAGCGGCAGCATCGGGAGCTGCTTCTGGCTGCCTTTGCTGGCAGAGCTGCATTAAAACACAGTTTTAGGCTTCTACCAAAAAAGGTTTAGGATACAGTAGAGAAAAAAAGCAGCAAAGTAACCATGCCAGGACCCTAAAAAAAACAACTGCCCCTAATTGCTTCCAGTTTCGCAAGCAGCTCCTCAGCAAGGACACCAGAGGCAGCATCGGGAGGTGCTTCTGGCTGCCTTTGCTGGCAGAGCTGCATTAAGCGACACATGAGGCTTGCCTCTATCAGCTTTATTTTCCTAGGAGAGTTTTGGAAATTCTTGCGAAGTTTTCAAAACGACTTTGCTTTATTTTCGAACCACATATCATGGCATGAAAGCATGCTTTGAATCGTCCGAGTTAATATCTTTAATTTCCCGCGCCGCCTCGAGACAGGGGTGGGATGGGTGGGTAGCTACTCCCTGGCCAAAGGGCCGGAAATTTTTGTAGTGGGGTGTAGCGTGTGCCATGCTGGCTTGACAAGGCCGAGTTTGCAGCCAGCGTGTCAGGGGACGACTCTCTTGAAAGTAGCCTCAAGAAGGCTCGCGTGCATGGGGCTTATGAGGGTCACCATGTGTCGTCTACGCGTGTTGCATCCCGAGGGCTTGGAAGCACAGTTAGGATGCCTTGGGAAATAGCTTCTACATTTCTTGACATGCCTGCCTTGCCCTCGCCTTTCGCCAAAGGGGGATGCATTGTGTCAAGGCCAGTAGGGCCGGCCGGTCCTGCAGGGCCGGTGAAGTCGTCTTCGGGAAAGCTTGAGTCACTCAGGCTTGCAGGAGTGAAGGTTCCGAGTGTGCCGGGACAAAGCTGGGATCAGAAACTCTCTGAGGCGAGGGAAGCAGCTTTGGCAAAGTGGGCCTCTTGCCAGGTACATCAAGCACTGCCGAAGTTGCCAGGTCATTCCTTTCCCTGTCACTGAAGCAGGGATCTATGCTTTCCTACAGGATTATGCATCTCACGAGGCGCCCACCTTCGCCAGGAGTTTCTTGAGCAGCCTTGCTTTTGCAAAGTTCACTGTGAGCTTGAAGGTGAGTGATGAAGTTTTCAGCCCCAGGGTCCGTGGGCTGTCGTCGAAGCTGTATCTTGAAAAGAGGAAGACTCGGCAAAAGCCGTCGCTCAAAGTTGATCATGTGCGTAAGTTGGAGGCCATCGCTTCCGGCTCAATCGTGCTCGAGCCTTCAGACCGGGTCGCTGCTGGCTTCTTCGTGTGGACCTTGTATGCACGAGCGAGGTACTCGGATGCCCAAGCTGCGGGTGCAATGACTTGCGACTTAAGCGATACGCCAGACGGCACAGTCGGATACCTGGAGTCCGCTGTTGAGCGAAGCAAAACTTCGTTCTCACTGGAAAGAAAGGTCAGGTATTTGCACATGTTTGCTCCCATCCAAGGAATAGGTGAGGTGCCCTGGGGTGTCAAGTGGTTTGAGTTCTATAAGGAGCATGGGCCTCCTTTGGGGTCGGGTAAGCCCTTGCTTCCGAGCCCGCTCTCTGGCGGAGGGTGGCAAACATCGCCGCTGGCGGTGGCGAGTGCCACGAAATGGATGAAGTCACTCTTGATCCGTGCGGGTTGTGACAGGTCTTCCGTTGAACCGCTTGGGACGCATAGTCTCAAGGCAACGACCTTGAGTTGGAGCGCCAAATTCGGACTACCCCGCGAGGTGAGAGCGGCCCTAGGCTACCACGCCAGGGGCCGTGATGGGACCGAGCTCATCTATGGGAGAGACAACATGTCTGCTCCTGTGCGCCAGCTGCAAGGGGTTCTGCTCGAAGTGTCGCGCGAAAGGTTCATGCCGGACGCCACCAGGTCCGGTTACTTCGTGAAGCGCTTTGAAGATCCAGAGGGGATGCCCATTCCTCCTGACGAGGTTTTGTCGGAATCTTCTTCCGAGGCCAGCGAGGATGCCGAGGATGTCGATCATGTAGCTGCGGAGGCGGCCACCGACGAGTTGGGAAGGCAATGGGAGCCCGATGCAGGCTTGCGTGCCGAGCTTGAAGCAGTCCCTTTGTTCAGGAACAGGGACAGCCGTTTCATTCATGCTGTCGCATCCGAAGAAGGCGACAAGTTCAGATGTGGGAGAAACATCTCGACCAGGTATGAAAGGTTGTCCTCCGTCCCTCGAATTTTGTTTCCGCTGTGTAGAAGCTGTTGTCCACCTAAGAAGTGATGCTGAGGAGTGCAGTGAAAAGGAGCTTCTGAGTTTCTAAGCGTTACGCGCTTAGGCTGAGTGCTTCCAGGAGTGTGTGCGATTTGTAGTTTTCGAGTGACATGCATCAGTCAGAAGCAAGCATCGCGTTCATGAGGAGTCGGCTCAGTCTTAGGAAGTCTGTGCTTGAACCTGGTAAGTCAGAGCCCAGGCCACGAGGTGCGGATTCGGGAGTGTTCTGAGAACTTTCAGCTTGATTTGTAGGAGTATCACTAGCCCGGTTCCTGCTCCTGACGATGGCGAACTACTCTGAGAGTCAATCGGTTCTGCAGTCGCGATTGAGTGTCGTGGGTTTCGCGGAAGATGACGTTCAGAAAATCCTGCCAGAGGTGGGAAACTTGAGGAGGCTGGCATTCATTTCTTCTTTCACACCTGGTCAGACTGACGAGGGTCCGTTGATGCAGGTGTTGAAAGATATTTTGAAGCGAGACCTGACAATTGCAGACAAGGCTAATTGGCGTGCGGTTTACAATGAAGCTTTTGCCATTGTGACCGCGGAAATGAAGCAGAGGATTGAGAAGGCCGACCCAGAGTCGACCGTCAGGCCTTTGTCTCAGCCTGAGAGGTCGGAGCGGTACGAGCGGCAGGCCAAGAAGCTTGTCGGGATATCACTTAAAGGGCCTCTGGAGCCTGCCGATGCACTTGTTGATCTTGCTGTGGCTTCCTATGAGGCAAATGAGCTGAGGTACATTCCGTGGGACCGGTGTGTGTCTAAGGAAGCTGAATTGGCTGGCGAGAAGAAACGTGATGTCAGGTTCACTGTTGAGGAGTCTTCGGGAAAGCTTCGGATCGAGCATAAACAGCCTGATCTGGTTGCGGATACCTCATCGGAGATTCTTGTTCAGCAGGCTCTCACCAGGAGAGCTTTGGCCATGGATCAGGCGAACCTGATCGAGTTCAGTGTTGCTGATCAGTGGACTCAACGCTTGATGAAGGCTCGCATGCAATCGCCTGCGGAGCATTTTGCCAGGCCCACTTGGAAGCAGCTTGAGTCGGCGGACCGGCAGCTGTTTGCCGAGCTACGTGACAAGACCAGGGCAGGTGTGCAGACTGTCGCATCGGGTCGCCCGTTGGACTCTCTCCTGCCCGATGCGATGTACATGAACGAGGTGTCATGCCTATTGCAGCCTTTTCCAGCCCCTTCCATGAAGGACGCTCCCCAGAAGCCGGATGCTCCCAAGTGGGAGAGGCCTTCTCCTTACACCAAAGGTGGGGGCAAAGGAAAGAAAGGTAAGCAGAGGTTCATGACAAGGTTGCCCGCTGGCTTGGAAGGCTGCAGGTCCCACACTAATCGAGGGGATCCAATATGCTTTGCCTTCAACCTGGGTGGCTGCTCGACGAAGGGGCAGAAGTGCGAGAAAGGCTTGCACATCTGTGCAGTGCCTAAGTGCGGTGCTCATAACCATGGTGCAGCGCAGTGCCCAAAGCGGGCGCAGGGGGGCTCGTGACTATCTGGTCTCGAGGGTGCCTCGCTGATGGCCGGTGCTCCAGAGAGTGTGCATCAGCCGGCAGCGGAGGCCTCGCAGGTGGATGATCTCCTAGCGGGAGTTCATCGGCCGAAAGATGCATGCACGGGTGGCTGTCCAACGAAAGGTGTGGATTGTCGCCCAACTCCGAGTGTTGATCGAGAGGATCATCACGATCACAACGTTGGCTCGTACAGTGCCATCGCTAGGCCTTCGCCGAGTGTGGTGGAGGCCGCACGCAGCAGGTCCCCAAAGCACCGTGATGGGGCGGGGCCACAGAGCGGCAAAGCGAGTTCTTCACTTGACGAGGGTCACGTGAGTGCTGCTGATGTCCTTCGAGTCTTCGATGGTCTTCCTTCAGATGATTTGAAAAGGGGTGCCAGTGCTCCTCTCCCAACTTCAAAGTCTTATGCCACAGGAGCGTATGTTCTTGGGGGCAATGTTGGCTTGAAGGCTAATGCCTCAACCAGCCCAGAAGCGCTCGACATCTTTGCAAGGTTTGTGAGGCAGAGCGTTCCGGGGTTCAAATTTTCTTCAATAAATATATTCGAGGATGTTCGCACTGAGCGTCACCGCGATCAGTGGAATGCAAATTTGCATAACCTGGCGATTGCCCTAACAGAATTTTCAGGTGGCGCCATCTTTGTGGAGCACGAAGATGGCCGGGATGTTTCGTCCCTCAATGGTGCCCAGGGTTCTCGCCTGGCTGTTGCAGCGGGCCCCGTGCGATTCAATGCAAGGCATTATTGGCACTACACTGAGGCTTGGCAAGGCCGGAGGGTCGTGCTGATAGCATACACAATCCGTCATGTTGAATCGCTGGGCAAGGAACATCTTGATTTTCTCCGGAGGTGCAATGTCGATGTTCCGACACGCGCGCCTGAGAGCGCGCGCCTGGCGCCTGCCCAGGTGTGTGGTCGTCAGCGGCCTTCCTCACCCTCTAATGCAGCTCAGGTGTCGCTTAGGCCTTTGCCCGCTTCGGTTGCGCCCACCGTTAGCCCTAAGGAACCTAATGGCGGCCCTGGAAGTCCTTTAAAGCCTGGTTCTGCTCTCTATGTTGAAATAAAGTGTGGTTCCGGTTTGCTAGCTGCTCGTGTGCGGCGAGATGGATTCCAAGTCATGGCGCTTGAACACTCGCGCCCTGCTGGGAGGGTGCACATCCACCTGGTCCCGGTGGACATCGAAACTGAATCGGGTTTCTCCTTTGCACAGACTGTCATTGGCCAAGATGCCCCTTTTCATGTGCACTTCTTCCCGGCGACTAAGTTGTTTTAAGGCCTCTTTCGACGCAGTGCAAACCCTTCGCCTCGCCAAGCTCTTGCTCGCGTCTGACTTGCATTGGAGTATCTTGCATCCCCTGGCGTCGGCCCTCTGGGGCCAGCTGGACTTGCCTGATGCGGTGCACTGCCTCGAATTTTGTGCCGGCTGCTACGGGGCTCCCAGCCCGGTAAAGATGCGCATGTGTACAACACAGCCCGCGCTGGCGGGCATGCCCATACCAGTGTGCCGCTGTCGCCAAATGCCCCATGTTGCGGGCTCGCTTGCGCCAGATTCCTTGTACACACCGAAATTCTGCGACGTTTTCGCTGGCCTCTTGCAGCTGTCGGTAGGCCATGCCGGCCTCTTACTTGAACACGCTGTTCCGCTGCAATGCTCGCGTCATTCTGCAGCCGCTGCCGCGGGGCGACAGCCTCGATTGTCAAAATTCCAGCCACAGATCGCCGAATTTAAGTGCCAAGCCACGGTCCGTGAATTCCCGTGGCCTCTCCCTTTGGATGATAAAGGTAATCTTAAATGTGCCATCGGGTCGATCCCTCCTGGCTCCCGCCTTCTTCGCATTGTGTGTGATCGGGGGGTTGTCGGTGCGAAGCAGGTCGGAAGCCTGTCAGGTGTGCCTTCGTCAGTTACTTTTGGCATTTACCGCACAGAACATGAGTTTGTGGCGCAGGCGTTGCATATCGATCATCCCTTCGACTTGTGCGTGGCAGTCCCGGATTTCATGCTGAGAGCCTTGGCTTTTACCTTGAAAGAGGGTCCGGTTGGCGTGATGAAACACCGTCTGAATCTGCTCCAGCAGTGGACTTCTTGGAAGCGTGAGCTGTCAAGTGCCGAAGCCGAGCTTCATGCTGCCATGGATCCTGGTGTGGCATCTGTGATGAAAGGCAAGAATATTTTGCTTCTGGAAAAGATTGCTTCAACTTTCGGTTGGCCTGACACGGAAGTGTTTGATCACCTTAAGCATGGTTTTCCGTTGGTCGGGGAGTCGAGCCCTTCCGGCATTTTCGATGTAGACAGAAAGCCGGCTCTGATGACGCGTGCAGAGCTTGTGCAGCATGCCAAGTTTCTTAAGCCGGCGCTGTGGGCAAAGGTGGCGAGCGCAGAGGTGGACGATCTGGCTCGGGAGGTGTGGGATTCCACACAACGCTAGTCAAGGAGTGGCTGACGGGGCCTTACTCGTGGGACGAGCTGCAAGCCCGTCACCCCGAAGGATGGCTTCCAGTGCGGAGGTTCGGCATTGTGCAAAAGGCCAAGACGCGATCGATCGATGACTTGGCCGAGAACTCGGTCAACCGCGCTTATGCTGTCTCCGACCGGATTGCTCTGAGAGCCCTTGATGAACTGGTGTGGCTTGCGATCACTCTTTTCAAAATCTTCATGGCGAAAGGCGAGGTGAGCATTCCTTTGTCGGACGGTGAACATCTTCGCTTTCCTGTGCATTCCTTCTGGAGAGCCCTGAAGCCCGAGGCGCTTCAGCCGAGCTTGAAAACAGTGGATTTGAAAAGTGCTTGTAAACAGTTGGCGGTCTCGCCACGAGATCGTTGTCTGAGCATAGTGACCATCAAGGACCCGGTTTCGGGCCTTCCATTCGGCTTCGAGAGCCGAACTCTTTTGTTTGGAGCCACCTCGTCGGTGGTTTCGTTCAACCGCGTTGCAAGGTTGATCCAGAGGGTTCTGATCACGTTGCAGGTGCTGGCCTGCAACTACTTTGATGATTACCCAGTGTTGGAGGTCTTGCCACTTTGCAACAACACGCAGTCGACCATCAAGGCTGCTCTGGATCTGCTGGGCTTCTCATGGGCAGAGGACAAGGACCTTCCTTTCAGCCATGAAGCCGAGCTGCTGGGCGTTAGGGTTGACCTAGGCACTTTCGGGGTAGTTAAGATTGGGAATAAGCCTGATCGCGCTGCTTCCATTGCCGCCGCGGTGGACTCCGTCTTGAGCGAGGGCCGTCTTGATCCGAAGACCCTGCCTTCCTTGTTCGGTCGCATCCAGTTTGCTGAAGGTCAGTTGCACGGGAGGCTGGGTAGATTAGCCCTGGCCGACCTCAGAGAGTGGATGATGAGCTCTCAGGCTCAGGCCCTCGATGCCACAGCTGTGCAGGCCCTTCGCCATCTTAGGACCCGGGTTCTTGGGGGTACCCCTAGGATAGTCCCGGCCTGTGTGGGGTCTCGCCGTTCCGTGATTTTCACGGATGGCGCTTACGAGCCGACGAATGGTTCTTACCCTGCTACTGTCGGAGGGGTCTTGTACCATTACGACAGCGGAGCGTGGTGCACTTCCTACTTTGCATGTGCTATCCCCTTGAGCGTTGTACGGAGCTGGGAGGCTCTCGGGAAAAGGCATTTGATAGGCCCAGTTGAGATGTACGCAGTTGTATGTGCGAGAGAAGCTTGGTCGAAGCACTTGAACATGCAAAGGGTGACCATGTATGTGGATCACTCCGGAGTGTTGGCCTCCTTGGTGAAAGGCTCTTCTAAAGACCCTTTATGGAGGCAGCTCTTGCTGATCTTTGAAAGTTGCGACGCTGAGGCGATGCTCCCTTGGTTTAGCCGCGTTCCAAGTGCAAGCAATCCGGCCGATCCTCCTTCACGTGCCAAGGCGATCTTTCCAGTCAGGGGGCAAGTGTGCAGAGTGTCGCCTCGATGTCCGATCAATGGCAATGCCACGATTGATCTCCTTCTTAAGTGAATGGGGTGTTCGTTGGCGATCCTCGTGTTCGCCATCGATCGGTGCGGGGATGTCACGACTTCCCCCTTCGGCTTTGCCGGAAGGAAAAGAGCGACTTCTGCATGAGCAATTTTCTTATTGTTTACATATTCTTTGATTTTCCCATATAGCTTGGGAATACTGTGAGTGGAATCGTCTATTGAAATAAAGCAAAGCTCCGTGGGAAATAAGCGACACATGAGGCTTGCCTCTATCAGCTTTATTTTCCTAGGAGAGTTTTGGAAATTCTTGCGAAGTTTTCAAAACGACTTTGCTTTATTTTCGAACCACATATCATGGCATGAAAGCATGCTTTGAATCGTCCGAGTTAATATCTTTAATTTCCCGCGCCGCCTCGAGACAGGGGTGGGATGGGTGGATAGCTACTCCCTGGCCAAAGGGCCGGAAATTTTTGTCCCTCCCTCCACTCCCGGGGTGTTCGTTGGCGATCCTCGTGTTCGCCATCGATCGGTGCGGGGATGTCACGACTTCCCCCTTCGGCTTTGCCGGAAGGAAAAGAGCGACTTCTGCATGAGCAATTTTCTTATTGTTTACATATTCTTTGATTTTCCCATATAGCTTGGGAATACTGTGAGTGGAATCGTCTATTGAAATACAGCAAAGCTCCGTGGGAAATAAAACACAGTTTTGGGCTTGTACCAAAAAAAAGGTTTAGGGTACAGTAGACAAAAAGCAGCAAAGTAACCATGCCGAGGCCCAAAAAAAAACAACTGCCCCTAATTGCTTCCAGTTTCGTTTGCAGCTCCTGAGCAACGGCAAAGCCAGCAGCAGGCATTGTCGTTTGCTGCCTTTGCTGTTGGCTGCATTGAAACCCAGTTTAGGGTTGCATCAAAAGGTTTAGGATAAAGTGCAGCAAAAGAAAAGCAAAGTAACCATGCCAAAGCCCTAAAAAGCTAGACAAGTGCTGAATTGCTTCCAGTATCGGAAGCAGCTCCTCCGCCCCGTGAGCAGCAGCAGTGCCAGTTGGCGGCTTTGGCGGCTTTGGCTGCCTTTGCTGTGGTATAGCTGCATGGAAACCCAGTTTAGGGTTGCACCAAAAAAGGTTTAGGGTGAAGTAAAGAAAAAGAAGCAAAGTAACCATGCCAAAACCCTAAAAGGTAAAGTATAGAAAAAGAAGCAAAGTAACCATGCCAAAACCCTAAAGCTAGAAGTGTTGAATTGCTTCCAGATTCGGAGGCAGGTCTTGAGCACCCGAACCAGCACCATCACCACCGGCGAGGGTCCTGAAAAGAAAAGGTTTAGGGGACTGCACAAAACAAGCAAAGTAACCATGCCCCACTAAAACATGCTATATCTGCTTGCTTCCAGAATCGTCTGGGCCAACACACGACCCACACTGCCCTTCGCAGTTTTCGCAGGTGGAGCCTTTTCTGGCCTTTGCTGGTAGCAGAATTGAAACACAGTTTAGGGGTGCACGGGAAAGGTTTAGGGGACTGCAGACAACAAGCAAAGTAAGCAAGCCACACTCTGCTATAGCTGCTGAGCATCAGAGGCTTGGAAACCGCAGCAGTCCCCTGGACCAGACCACTACCCATGGCCTTGGAGTAGGTCTCCTGTTCAGGGGATTACAAAAAGCACCAGAGAAAATCCAGTAAACTTCTTAAGCATGAGTGTATACATATATATATATATATAGATAACAAGTAGCCATGCCACATAAACAAAAAAAGTAATCATGCCGCACACACAGCTGCTCCTGCTTGTCAGCAGGGTAGTAGGGGATCTCTGGAGCAGCAGTCCAGATGTTCTGCTTCTGCAGTGGCTGGGGGATGCTCGGCCTGGCCTTCTTCCGGGGAGGCGGTGCTGCCTTTGGCGCCGGTGGCTCCGGGGGGAAAGTGGGTGGTGGCACTGGTGGTGGTTTTGGGCGGAGAGGTGGCCGTGCTGCTGCTGCTGGTGCTGGTGGTGGTGGTGGCGGTGGTGGGAGGGTTGGTGGTGGTGGTGGGCGAAGGGGTTTGGTGACAGGTGGGGGGATGGGTGGTGGCTTGGGGATGGTATGGTTGACATCCGGGGAGAATGTCGACCATGTGTCCCTGTCCCCCAGACGATGGCCCCTCAGCAGCCTTGTGGTCAGAGGGATCTCAAAAGAAACAAAAAGCAGCAAAGTAACCATGAACAAACCAGAAAAACAAAAAACATTTCTAAGTGCTTCTCAAAGCAACAAAAGTAAGCATGAACAAAGCAGAAAAAAAAACATTTCTAAAAGTGCTGTCGGGCATCGCAGCGTACTGCTGGCCCTGCGAGAACCCGACTCGGAGGTGTATGTAGGCCGACGAGACATCACTCTGTGAATCTCGGCCAGGGAACATGAAAACGTTCACAGCCTCCTCGTCAAGCCCTGTCTGGGCCGCCGCCCACCGCTGGACGTCGCCAGCAAACCATGCCAGCGGAAGGTTTTTCACGTAAACCCGCACAGTAGCCATGCTGGGTTTACGTGAAAAAGTCCTAGACACCAGTGCTTGTCTGTGCTGTGACTGCTGTGTCTGTGTGTGTGTGTGTGCTGTGTGTGTGTGTGTGTGTCTGTGTGTGCTGTGTGTGCTGTGTGTGCTGTGAGTGCTCTCTGCTGTGGTCCTTGCTGTTTGCAGTGCTCTCTGCTGCGGAGTGCTGTGTGTGTGTGAAGTGCTCTCTGCAGTTGTCTCTTTAGAGGCTGTGCTGAGTGCTCCCCTGGTGCTCTGCTTTGCACAGGCCTCTGAAAAGGCCCACCTCTTTCAGCTGCGAAAAACGGTTGCCGGGTTCAACATGTCATTCCACAAACTCCAAGAAGTGGACAGTAAGCATGCGGGCACAGGAACTGCTTCGGGAAAGTCTCAAAAGCAACCATGCACAGACTGCTTCTGCAAAGCGCACTCACAGTAACCATGCCGCAATCAATCAACAGTAACCATGCACACCACGACAACTGCAGAGTAAGCATGCTTCAAAAACACTGTTCTCATGCTAAGTACAAAGAGTAACCATGCCAGAAAATCTCAGCGGGGAAAGTGCAAAAAGTGATCATGCAACAAACATATGTTTCTGGATAGTGCAAACAGTAGCCATGCAACAAAAACTTCTTAAGGAAAATGCAGACAGTAATCATGTAGCAAAGAACAGCTGTTTCTGGAAACGATATACGGACAGTAACCATGCAGCACAATGTGTGTTTTTTCTAATTACCAAAAGAGGAGAGCTGTTCAGGGCTTCTCTGGCGCCAAGCTTTGGGCCTTTGAGCTGTTGCTTCAAAGTTCGGTGTTAAACTACAGGGCTTCAAACCCACTGAAAGACAAAAGCCTCTCCCTGAACACCCGGAAAAGGACGGGGTGAGTGCTCCCTGTGAGGCTTCTTCTGCTGCTCTCTTTTTTCCAAGACACCGACACAGGTCTTGCAGCCTTCAGAGGACCGAGACTTAAGCCGCACAGATGTGCAAGAAGCAACCGCTGCTTCCTTCAACTATAAAAAAGGCATGTGAAGAGACTGTGAGGAACAAAAGAATCCCTATAATGTTTGTCAACCACTCTAAACACGATACACTATTGCCAACCGGAACCACACATTGCCCAGGCCCGGACCTTGCCGGAGTACTGTCACAAAGAGATTCCTGTGTGTATGCTTGGAACAAAAAGCAGCTAGACTTTTGCTAAAGACAGACGATACACACCACAACTGGCTTTTATAAGGGTTTAGAGTTGGGTCCAACATCTGGCACAAAACAGCATACACACGGAACATCTCTCCGAAAAAGCCCTCTACTCCTGAGAGGGCTGTATCTCCCCTTTGTCCACCTTCTCACTCCACCGTGCCCTCGCTTCTCTCGCCTCCGCCTTTGCTGAGTCGGGAGACAGACCACGGCCGAGGGCAGCCACTCTCCTCACAAACTTGTTTCTGCTGGATACATCTCTGTGTGTGTGTGAATTACATAGGGTTTAGGGTTTAGGGTTTTATAAACCAAATCGCCAAACTTTCTTGAAGAATGTCCCAGGTTCGCCGAGTGGTAGACACGGGAAGACTTGCGGTGTCGCCAGGTGCTCTTCAAGAAGACTCCGTTCTTTACCTTCTGTGTGTCTGGTTCTAATCATGCAGCTTGTCAAAAACAGTAACCATGCGAACAAGTAACCAGTAAATAATCATGCAGCTCCTCACAAAAAATAGCCTTAGACCGCCTCTACGAAATAAAAACTATTCCAATATGCACCAAGCAGGTCACGGTAGCAGCAGGAGCTTTCGCCGTCGCTTTGGCCTTCGCAGTCCCTTTGGCCTTCGCCGTCGCTTCAGCCTTGCCCTTGGCTTTAGCCTTTGTCCTGGCCTTCGCCTTGGGCTTTTGGACACTCACGTCTTGAGTCATCCAAGAGCAAAGCTCCTCCTCTTCGTCCACGTTCAGGAAGAAGCTTGCCAGGCTTCGCTTGAGCTTCGGCAAAGCCAAAGCTTCGCCACTCGAGGAACCCTTCTCCACCATAACCCCCTCGCGACTCGCTTCCGAGTCCTTCCTGGCGAGGACTCTCGCGAACACTGCAGACCCGGCAGGCCGTGCCGCTGCTGCTGAAGCTGTGCTCGGTGCTGAGGAGGTTGCTGGAGCTGTGCTGGGTGCTGAGGCTGCTGAGGCTGCTGAGGCTGCTGGAGCTGTGTTCGCCGCTGTTGTGGACTCAAAGGTCAAGAAGGACAACATGCTGTCGATGATTTCCTTCTCTGAACTGGAAGCCTTGCGACATGCCCTGCCGTATGCTCCACTGTCCACCTTCAAGTTTCTCCAGTTTGCACAGAGCTGCCGGACGTACTGGTCGGCGACGTCCACGAAGTCATGGTCGGACTTTTTCGAAAAGTTGATCCGACCATGCTCCGTCTGCAGCTTGTTCAGGCATGCTTTCAGTTTCGTCGACTGAATCACACCATTGCTGCACACTCGGAACAGGCCTTGCATCAAGTTCGCAGCACCAGGCTCGCACAAGGCATCGAGGGGTGCCGTCGTTTTCCAAGTGGTGTTAGAGGCG